TTCTAATGGACAGTAAACCTTAGAAGGGGGGGGACTTATGTAGTTTCGGTTTATCTTAAATTTATAGCTTAAAATCTTTTTAAGTTTCGTATGGGGGAAACGGGGAATGCGACTCCGATAAAAATGCCGTATCGTGACACGAGAAACGTGACCCGTTCGTGAGGCCCCTCGAATCAATCACGGAAGTAAGTGTTTGATATGGGGCCCGTTAGCGGGTTGCTGCCGTTTGGTGTCAACAGAATATAATGGTTTAGGTACGGAACGAGTCTGAAGGTCTGATAAAAAAAAAAACACCATGCTACCACCGTCTTTGTCCTGCAAAAAAAAGAAAGAAAAGAAAGAAAGAAAGCAATTGGTTAATATACAGAAAGAGAACAAAGCAGTGGAAAGCCGATGACATCATTAGGGGGACATCTGGTGTACGGAAGTAGTTTTATCACCCGGATATGACGTCACGAATTGGAAAAAAAGGCGCATCGTCACAACAATGGATCTTGTGTATTGTCGACATACATTGCCATTTGTTTATTTTAGTAAAAACGAGTCTAAAAAAAAAACTTTTCTTAACGTTTAAAAAAATATATAAAAAGTCCAAAAATTATTCATAAAAAGACGAAGTTTTCTATCGTACGCCCGCATAATATATATATATTACAATAACGTAAAAACTCCTAAAAATTCACATGCCATTGCCAAATATATAAAACTTTAGATAAGAAATTCTTACCAAAAATGCAAGTCTTGTTTATCATCATCATTATTTTTTATATTTCCAAGCTCGATACTACAGCATACTGATTTCTTTTGGGTGGGGGGGGAGAGATAAAAATGTAGTAGTAGTAAACTAAATCAGTCAATATTGCTTATAAGTAATCACGGTACTCAAGAAACTCTGAAGACTCTACATAAAAAAAAAATTGAGGAAGAAGAAGAAGAAGAAGGTGAGTTTCAAATAAAATGAATCGTGAAAAGCTACGGTCGAATGCATTTTATATAATTCTACGAAAAGTGTAGAAACGAAGAGAGAGAGAGAGAGAGTTTCACCACGACTTCATCACACAGCATCTAGGAACCGAGAAGTTTCAACGAGAGTTCTTGGAAAAATAAGGGGAAAAAAGAAGAAGGAAACTGCAACCACACTCGGAGAAAAGACATTTTCTGAAGGGGAATAAAAACGAAAACAGTTCTAGATCCTTATTTTTACTACGAACACTTTTGTAACATTACTACTACTAACTCGAAAGAGAATTTATTGTTTTGCATTCGATTGTCCTTAGTTTTGAATTCTTAAAGAAAGAAAAAAAAAAAACTTATTTATTTAAAAATGTGTTTTATAACTATAAAAAGCCGTAAATAAATTTATAAAATTCTTATTTAATTACTCAAAAATAACGTTAATTAAAAACTACAAAGATCTTACAGGACAATTTCGAAGACCCAAAATTTAATAATAGTCTTATTTTATTTTCTACATGATCGATTAAAAAAAAAAATAAACGAAATAAACTTTCTTATAAGTAATAAAACGAACTTTATTCATAAAAATTTTTTATGCCTTTCGCAGTTATTCGTACGTAAGCTGTGACTTGGGGCCTAGAGATTTTAAACTTTATTATTGTTGTTATTGTTAGTAAAAGGGCCTCACTTAAATCTTAATCCACAGCTCTAGGCGAGGAGGACCTACATACAGCTCGTTCGCTAATTTCTGAATAAATATTTGCATCAGATACTCATTTTTTTCCTTGGTTTTTCTTTTTTTTAAGTAAGATATATTCTAGAAAAAGAAATCAATTCAATATCGTTACGGATTTGTTCTTTGTATTACTTGGATTTAACAGAAAACAAAAACAGATGTTTCCATCAAGTTAGACAAATAATGGATGACATCACACAATATTGAATTTCTTGTCAAAAACTAGAATATGAGAATTGACCTGCACTCTCCATTTCTTAATCTTAAAAAAAAAACAAATAAATAAATAAAAAGGGCATTATTTAAAAGAGAACAATACATCTTTGTGTTTTTCCCTTCTCTAATACCTGAACTACACTTTCTAAATATATATATATATATTTATTTATTTCTCTGGAACATCATCTAATTCTCTACGCTTAGAATCGATTATAAATGTCAATCATATATATATATAAAAGACAACTATCTCGGTTAACCGACTTTTGGGCCACGCTTAATTATTTAAAATTAATATAATTAGCATTTAATTAGATGATTAAATTATTTTTTAATGGCAGAGATGAGGGAAAATACGAGCAGGAATTTTTTTTTTTTTAACGATCGCCTCTTAAATTAATCGCTCGATGATCGTGATCAATCACGAGCTTCGATCAATTAGTTTAAGCTGGTGAGACTTTGTATGGCATTGTGTACGAACGACAATACTCCGAATTTGAATAATTTAAACAATAATTATAATAAATTCAGTCTGGAATAAGGTTAAGTTTCAGAACAGATGATTAACTTCGAAAGACTTAAAAATTTGCCTGTTGTTTTTTTGTTTTTTGGTAAATCAATTTGTCATCTGGAAAGATCTGGAAATAAAGAGAATAGGGAAGAGAGAGAAGCACGTGATCAATGGTTAAAAAAAAAGTAACCTTAATGAATTCCAAATGTGGATATTCCTCCAGTTATGAGAGCATTCTGAATTCGGTAATTATCTTTTGTATCTTCAAAAACATAGATCTTTACTAAGAACAGGTAAATTACAATGGTAGAAACTCTTAACCAAATGGATCTTTCCCACGTAAAAATAGCGCTCGTGTTTAAATATTCGCCCAATTTTTCGATTTTTGGGTGTGGTCCACCGAAACGGATAATTATTTTATACCATTTTATACGTTAAAAACTTTGCAAATTATCATCTCCAACGTTCCCCAACTTGAACCTCAATGTAACGCTCGATAGGAAGAAATGTATAGTGTTTTCTTCTTCTTTTTGGTTCCTTTTTTTTTTCTTTCTTTCTTCAGCTTTTCTTTCTTTCTGCAAGATGTAAAATCCGTGACATAATGCAGTGAGGTGCGTGCACAACGTGATGCAGGTCATTAAGAGACAAATCTGGCTCTATAAGAGCTAAATTATAAAATCTGTAGGGTTTCTCGATTAATTTACATATTTAAAACTTACTCGTGGTGTTAAATATGCTCGAAATTATTCGCTGTTTAAATACTTCACAATGTTTTTAAGGCAGCGCGCGCGTTATCCTATGGGCTAAAAAGAGCAATTGCCTAGGACCTTCACTAACAGGGGACCACAAACCAATCTTTAATAAGAAAATATTTCCCCCGGAGGAAAATGTATGAAGTAGAATTATACACGGGGCCCCCTAAATTTAAAAATTCTCCTGGGCCCTACGAAGCCATAATGCGCCGATGTTTCAAGGTGAGTTTTAAATGAGAGAGAACCCTCCCAAAAAAATGGACTGGAGCCAAATTCTGTTGCGTGTTTATTAAAGATTTTATTGGATTTTGTATTAAGTACTGGAATTTAATTATTAGAACGTAAACAAATGTATATTTTTCTTACTATTTTGTGTATTTTACACGAAATTACAATGCTTAAATGACACGTCAAACCTTCAGATAAACGAGTAGCAATTTAAAAATGATTCTTGAGCCAAATTCGATAATATGTTTAGATAAAGATTTTAATGCATTCCTCATTAAATATTGATTATATATATATATATATATATATAATAATTAAGCTTAAATAAGTATACTTTTCTGGAAAATTACGATTGTTTTTCAGTGACAAGAATACTCTTTTGAGGACGAAAATTCTACCAAATTTTCTTTAAAAAGATGGAATTTATTTAAAAAAAAAATAATTCTAGAAAATAAATAGAGTTTTTATGACCCGCTAATTATAACTTTACTCGAAAATACACAGATCGAACGACACGAAAAGTTTTCTGTATCACAACGTTTAACACTAGTTTAAAGAACACTTTATCTAGTGTTTTTTTTTCCTCCCTTTTTTTCTCGTCAACAGCACCAAAATGAGACGATGAAAAACTGCAAAAGAAGCAGTTCATGGTCGTCCAATGCAATTTCATCCCACGGTCGTCAACACGTTTTACTCACCATCACTCAGCTTACTTTGTATACCAAGGGATAATGTATCCTTTGTGTTAAAACGCGCCTCTACCGATAATGATTATTATCCTCCAAAACAATTATAGTTTAGTAACAAACTATCAAAAACATATTCATCACAATGATGACACTATTTTGATATATTAAGACGTATCGAGATTAAATTCTTTTCATTATTTTCGTTACAACTGATCAATGTCTTAGAGACTGAGAGAGAGAGAGAGAGAGCCACGTCGATATCAACAGTAATAAAAGTTAATGAACAAAAATTGTTTCGGGGGGCGACGTAAGGAATTAAAAAATTACTTTTTAAATTAAATTTTAATTAATAAATGTGTGAACGAAGCTAAGTTAGCAGCTGCGAAGTTTTATTTAGGGGAAAAAATAAATTTCCCCTCCCCCCTTTTTTTTATTGATTAAATCTAATAGAAGTCATATGGGAATTTGTTCGTTCGTTTTTTTTTAAGCCAGCGACACAAAAATTCAATTAATAACGCGTAGATTTTAGTTAAAAAATACATTAAATTAATTTTAAAATAACTTAAACAAGAAGCGTGCTACTTGATAACGTAGTAACATTGAAAAATAATACACGTATCACCGCCCATATCCTCCTCCCCTCTTTCACTCTTGTCAACTGTTTTCTGTTAGACGGAAAATCTGCCCGTTCGACATTAAAATTTCCCCACTTTTTCTATACAAAACTACGTAAAATCCCTTTAAAAAATACCCTCTGTAACACATGTATATATTGTAAATATTTATCGAAAAAGTTGACAAAAGTACAAAGAGGAAAATGTGGTTAAAACACGCAATCAAACTAGCGATAAATGGGATAAAAAAAATTAAAAAAAAAAAAGAGAAGAAAATTAAACTTTAACACTCACCCTTTATACGTAATTAAATGGTAGAATATTAACTTGTTTACCAGTATAAATTCGAAAGTTATAACTGGCTGTGTTTAACGTTACCCACGTGACAGACGATTAACTTAGTCCGGTTCATACAACGTCCTACGATCCAACTGCTGCTCCTTGCAACGGTTAGCGCAGCTGTTTTCTGACGGACTACACCATTCGTCGATGTTCTTCGGGGGTGCTTCACCACTCTGTTGTATGTACAACAAGTGTTTATTCCTCTTTCTCCTTACTTGTAACTGTTGTAACTCTCCCACTTCCCCACTATCTTCTATATTAACTGTACGATAGTGTTTTATTTTTTTAAAAAAATTAATTTACTGTACGCGTAATATTATAAAATTAAATTAAATTAGTAAGAACTTACTGTTCTGTTCGGGAGTTAAGTGTATCGTTAACTCGTTACAAGAATTTCTGTTTAAGATTTTTTCTCGGTAAGGGTGACGACATAGTGTTTTTATGTTTATTGTACGTTGCACAGTTTGTTTCTTTTATACTCCCCCTACGAAAATATATCTAAATAAAGATAAATATAAAGTATTAACTTAAAGTAAAAAGATTTTATATTGTATAATGTACAGTATATACAATAGAAAGGAATACAGTATATTTATATTTTTATATAATAGATACCATATGGTATTATATGGTATCTATCTATTATATAAAAGAGGTATATTTTAGTCTATATTCAATACAAATTCATATACTATTTAAAATAATGAATAATTACAATCATTTACATGTTGTTTTTAAATTGATTACACCATATTTTAAGTGATTTTGTATTATTTTCTGCCATCTTTTAAAGTGTAAATGACTTAAAATGTACATTTAAGTATTTATTTTTTTTATAATAATATTTTAATACATATTAAAAAAATTGTTTAAAAATTACTTTATATGAAACATTTTTTTCTATTATTTTCATTATTATTTACAGTCACTTGTATAAAATTGCCAGGAGGAATACAGCATTAGAAACAAATTTTATAAATAAAATAAATTCCAGATTATAGAGAAATACATTAAAAAGTAATTTATTAATTAACTTTTCACATATAAAAATCAAATAATAATATATATATATAGCCTATAGACAGAGTTTGTAAGGAATATAAAAAAAAAATCAATACATTAGTGTGTTATTTTGTTGCTTTACTTTCTTCTTCTTCTTCTTGCAGATAATTTTTTGCTTCCATGATTTTTCTTGTTCAAATATTTTTACAGAGGAATATGTCAGTCATGTGACACGTCCCCTGCATCTGACTGAAAATAAAAAAAAAAAAAAGCTGGGGGACTGGGGACTTACCCATCACACCAGTTACTCTATTACTGCCTTTGATCAGTTTCTGTTATCTGCAAGAACATTATTCTTTCAGATTAAAAATAAAAAAGGAGAGGAATAAAAGGGAGAAAAAAAAATGGTATATTTGCTTCCATAAAAGATAACCATCAAGAAAGATATTTCTATTTTAATATCTTTATATTAGAATCATTTTCTTTGTTCGTTGCAAATATTGGATTTGGATAGCATACATTAGCGATTTTCCAACATTGCTGTTGATTAATAGGTTAATAGTGTCAACAGTTTGCAGATTTCCCACTATTCCCATACACCATAAATTATTCTGTACACGTGATTAAGTTAATAAGATATATTTTTTTTTTCCTCCCTTCTTTTATAGAAAATCATCAGACACTAGATGATTTTTTTTTTCTATAGATTATCACACGATCTTCCTTACTTACAATTCTTTAAAACTGTTTTCTAGATTGCTTATCTTCACGAAGGTATATAATATAGTATATAAAAGTTCAATTTCTTTATTATTTTTTTTCTATATTGAGTTATAAATTTCAAAAGTCGACGGTCAAATCTCTCAGGGATGATCAAATGTAATACTTTTGGGCATTGGAGAAGCTTATGTGTCTCTTTCCATTTGCTACTTGGATGGATCAGAAAGTAGGATTTGTCCTTATCTGCTTCAAACCGATTCGGAGATTAAGACACTTCCTAATCTGATTTTGTCTGTCTCGATTGATGACATCGGGATTAAACTGTTTGTCTATTAGTTACTTTGGACGAATTTCACTTTTAATTCGTTAATGTAACTTTTGGTTAATTCGTTAATCTATAAGTAGGTAGGGAGGATTATAGGGCCTTAAATTATGCAAAAAGGCCTTATATAAAATCATTCAAAAGCCGGTTAATTAAAAAGAAATGTAAATAAATCAGTGGCCTGCTAGGCTAAATGTTTTTTTTTTCCCTGGTTATTCATTATTATTTATCGAATTAATCTAATTTTTAAATAGAAAGTTAATAGAAAAACCATTTAAAATGATCTACTTTTGTTTCGTTTCAAGGTTATGCGGTCAAGAACACCTGCACATCCAGACATGTCTGCAGCTCTTTTTTTTCCTTTTTTTTTTTAACTTTATTTTTCGTTTGATACAAGGCTAAACTTCCGCTCTTTCAAAAAAGGAAAGAACCTAATTATGTACAAAGAAAATGTGTCAGTAGACAACATCCTGCGGGAGATAAGATGTATTTTTTCACTTAAAAAACGTGATATTTACTTCATTTCTATTAGTAAATAAGCTTAAATTAATAACAATTTTTAAAGAAATTTTAGTGTATTTTTTTTTTTTTTTAAGTAAATACAAAATTAAAAGAGGGTTAATAGAAATATTTGGCTTTATTTATAACGTTAAAATAAATAAATAAATTACAGTGTAAATATTATAAAATAGTTCTTTAACTAAAAAGGTCAACGTTTGGTATTGCTTTTAATATAAGATGAGACGAAAAAAATAAAAAAGGAAAAAAGGAGAAAGTATGGCACATGGGACCACACATATTGCTAATGTGATACGATATACCAACTTACTTCGGCACCAGTTGTTACCGCTGTATACACACACACACACACACACATACATACATACATTTCACTTTTTATTTTTTTTTAATTAAACAGAAAGTTAGATTATGGAATGTAATATTTGCAGGCAATTGTGTTAAGGTCACGAGATCAGTCGGAAATGAAGTGTCGCATGAAGTATATTGTAATCGACGTGTTCAATTATTTAGAAAATGAATAGTTTCGACTCTTTAAAAATGAATCTTTTATATACCACGACAAGAAAATAAAAAAGAAAAAAAAACATTAAATAAAACGTAGTTCGGACAATAAACGAGTGTTTAAAAGATAAGACACACTGTAATTGAGTTTGGTACATTTTATATATCCTCTTAGTAATTAATGTTTGCCATTTGTTAAATTGAGTCACAACTTTTCTTCCCTTCTTCCTCTCATTAATCCCGTCTTAAATTCGATTAAGTGTTAATTTTCCAGGCCAAACTACATAAATATGGTTTAGTTTTTGATAATATTACCAGTACCAAACTAATAATTTAATACAAAAAAAAAAAAATGGTATATTCGCGTAAGCAATTAATAAACTCCCCCCCTCTTTCGATGATTTTTATATCAATTTATATATGCCCATTTCATACGATGTATGAGGATCAAAAATACAAAAAGATCTATTTTTTTGTTGATTAATGGAGGTAAATTTCGACATGCCATCCATCACTTCCGCATTTCTGAACAAATCACGAATGGAACAAATTAACTTTGGCATTTTTCGATGCTCCTGGATAAAATTTTGTTTTTATAAAAAAAAAAAATACAGGAGAAAATATATTAAAAAAAACTGTATAAAATTCAAGAAAGTTTATAATTTTTGAGACTTTTTATTTAAACAAAAAATAAATGCGATCGTCATTAAAATTTTAGGAAATTTGTCGGTAAGTACTGTACAAGATGACCCTATCTACTCTCTCTCTCTATAGAGCTTAACTCCCTTGACTCAAGTGACTCATCTGACTATCCTCTGGCAGGATGATATTTTTTAATTAAATGCTCTCAACTCGATTCTACTTCCGCTGTCTAACACCTCCACCGCTGCAAATTGATCTTCCTTAACTCACAATATTCAATTATTGCCATCAAAAATGATTAAGGAACCTAATAGGCTTATTGATTGTTAATTTGAATTTTCACACCCGTCATTTTCAATATATTTATCGTAATGAAATTTAATACACATTCTTTTTTTTTTTTTTAATAAGCTTAATAGGATTCCAAATTATTACACATTCTTTTTTTTTTTTTTTAAATAAGCTTAATAAGTTTCCAAATAACCGAATCATTAAGTTTATAACTTAAATTCGATCTGGAGCCCTAAACTTTTAGTAATTTAATACACGAAAAAAAGAACCTCTTACAGGGCCATACCTATAATGAAGTAACCGAAACCAAAAATCTTTTCTAAGAGAAGAGGATTGATGAACCTCTACAGATCCACTTTAAGTCAATAGTCGATCAAATTTCGTGCTTTTTCCAAAGATCTAGGACCGGGCATCGTTAGAGTCCCCGTTGAAAGCACGTGGTGCCCACATGGTGGGAACCTTTTTCCATTCAACAAGAAAGCAGGGGAGATAAATCTGCTCTTGCTAGAGTACCCCCTTATAACTTGCTTCAAATATAAAATACAAAACGTTTCTGAACGAAAATATCTTCAAGTTGGAGTAGAGATCGTGCCAAAAATCTCTGTTTCTATCAAATACAGTAGTATCAGTACACTTCACAAGGTTAATAATATACATTAAAATAATTATATTTTAGTGAAATTTCTACTAGAGAAAAAAAAAAAAAACATGTAATTTTAGAGAGAAATTTGCTAGGATTATTAATATTTTATTTATTTATTTCTTAGTAAGAATTTTATTTTATTTTATTCCCCATCTCAGAAGCAAATATTCTAAACAGGATATTAAGAAAATTAATCTTTAAACCTGTACGAAACATATTTTTTTTATAAGTCTTACATCTGTACGAAGAGTTGCATTACGATAAGATTTATACATATTTCTTACCATTGAATGCATTTAAATATTTATTATGTTTATATGTATTTTCAGAATTTTAAAGAAAAACTGGAAACAAAAAATTCCATTTATCAGCAATTATCTGATGTTGTTGAAAGTATTTCAAAATCATCAACTAATAATTCAGAAGAAATGATTGCAGAATTTTCAAATTTAAAAAAGAAGTGGAATGATATAATGAAAAAAGCTCAGGAATTTTATCAAAAATATAAACAAGCATCATCTAAATATGCAGAATT